GAATTTAACCCTGAACAAATATCTTGTAGTGATCATTTAATGGATGCTCATATCTAAGATGAAAATACCCTGATGATGACAATAATGACAGTGATTTTTTATTTACAAATAACTTTACATTTTCTCAAGACATGTTCATCATTTATGATAAAAGGCATAAATGCTGCCTGAATCAATGCATTTGACACTAAATATCAACTATACTTGCAAATTATTCTTTTAAAATAACATGTAAATGGCTGTTCCTAAAATATGCTAAATGCAAAAATATGCTAGTATGTAAAAATATTAGCTCTAAAATATGCTAATATGCAAAAATAAATCTACTTGGACAAAACTTATTATTATAAATGAGATGCTTACCTTTATAATTGTGTTAAAATGCACAGAATGATAAAGAAGAGCCTTATCATAGGCAAGTACTTTATTTGCATTACTACAGAAGTTAACAATCTATTATATACTCTAATGCCATTTGAGATTATACTCTTTCATGTCCTTTAAGTTAGGAAATGTCTTTTCCCTGGGGATCAGCTTTTCCCCATGCCACTTTCTAATTGAAGAGAACCATCCTTCCTGCCACTCAAGGAGTTTGGGACAATGATCAGAAACATCTGGTCTCCAAAAATGGAAATGTGTAAACACACAAAGAACTCCCAAAAGTCCAGTGAGTGTAAAAAAAAAAGTAATCTCACTAGCAAATGTGCTCAAGTCTTGAATATCTGCTTTAGTGATAGAGAGATACAGATGTCAAATAATCACTGAGAAATAATCACCATTACTCAGTATTAGAATTAGAACCAAGGTGACTTTGCTATAATGATGGCGGCTCCAATTAAAATAAAATCACAAAAAGACACAACTCTACACAGGGAAATAAATATATAACCCATAATTAGTGACAGTTTGAATGTACGGAAATGATGTTTCTTAAATCTCTGCAGTGATATATGTATAAGTACAAGCCTCTTGTTTCTGTTATTTAGACCTAATATTAGTCTTCATAGCATTTTGTGAGTGTTTGTGAATTGTGTGTTTGCAAATACTCACACTAAGAAGATTAGATAAACTGAAGGCCACTTTGTTGTTAACTTGAAGCAGTAACTACCTGAAACTGTGTTTTCACAATTGAGGACTTTATATAAGTATTAAGTCATCATGGCTTTCTGATTTTTAAAGATTTTATTGCTTAATAGTCACCAAAAAATAAGATTTAAAGGATGATGGGGCATGGACATGGATGGTTTGGTGGCAGGAAAATAAAATTCCCTGTGCCTAATTTATTTTGCTAAAAAAAAAAAAATTAAATAACAATTTATGGGGCTATGGAGTTCTCAAATTTTTATATTGATGCTTTTTTTCCCCTAATTTGAAACCTTTTTGGGCCAATTTCTGGTTTGTGCACCAGTCTTTCATCTCCTTGTGCAAATGAATGAATGAATGAGTGGATGAGTGAAAAGGATTGTTATTGTCATATATACTTTGGATTGTTCCAGACTTCTTTAGTGGCAGATAGAATGGTTAGTTCAATTAAAATGTGACATGGGGAAAGAGATCCCATGGGCAAAGGGCATGTTACTTATAGAGCAGGGTTTGTTTTTACAGCACATGTATTTGAAATAGAGATTAGCTTCTATTTTAATAAAACCAATTTACCTGCCTTAAAAAATGTCTTTATCATTTTGTGTACTTTAAATCCATTAGTAAAGGTAAGCAAAACTTTTAGATTCCATCCAAACAGGTAAGGATGAAGACATTTTTGTAAATATGAAATTTATATATCTCTATACTTCTTTAGCACTAGCATAGAATACTGATCTACAGAATTTTAAATTCAAAATGAACAGAAATTTAAAATGAACAGTTTCTGCCTTTCTTGTTTGATTTTTAAAATACTGATTCAAATAGCATTTGTACTTTTCTGACTCCTATCAAAAGAAAAAAATGCAAAGGTCATATAATCTTGACCAGAAGGAGAATAATCATCAGTAGCGTTATCTTAGGTAATAAAATTTATTGAGTGATAGGTTTGTGTAAAGCATGTACTTAGTATTTTTCATATATTAAATCTGTGGATCAAATTTAGACAAAAATCTAAGTATGTATAATGGAGAAGTATGTATAATGGAGAAGATAGTGAGCTTTATTAAAATGTTTTTGATCTTACTAGTATCAAAGGGATTCTTTGTAAAAGGGCAAACTCCATGATAAATGAATCTGAAAACCCTAAAGAGATTATGGCATGATTTACTTATATATTTAGAAGCTTCTTTTAAAGGAAAAAAAATCTTAATTTATTGATTTGTGGTGATTACTTTGATCATTGATTGGATTTAATAACCATTGTCTGAATAGTTATTCTATATTGGAATGATAGTTGGTATAATTAATATCATAATCTAATCTCAAAATCAAAGAAAATAATAATTTCTGTGAAATCCAGGAAAAAGGAGATATTTGATTAAAAGCCAAAGAGCTGCATTTATCTGAATTCTATAGAGGTTTTCTTTCAGAGTTGGATAAATGGAATGATATAAACTTTCCATAAATCAGGGGAAAAAAAGAAACAACAGCTGTGTTGGAAGAGTTTAGGAAGCTTTTATTGGTGATGTTTTCTTTGGGAAACAAATACATCTTTTTATCTCTTAGTTTACAAGTGGTTTTGAGATTGCCATTGAATATTCATAAAATTAATATTACAATTTCCTACAATCAAAATTTTATTATGATAATTGCATAATTATGGGGCAAGCCTGGAATATCTTTATGCAGTCAGTATTTTACACATAACACCTTAGAATATGAGGAAATATTTACATTTTTTTCATCTCTATTGGTGCTGAAATTGGTTAACACATAATTTGAGCATTACCTTTCACAAACTGAAAAAAAATATGCTGCTTTAGCAAGAATGAATACCTACATAATTCTTGGGGTGTGGGGAGAGAGAGAGAGAGAGAGAGACGCAGAGCACAAAGAAGGTAGGGAGGGAGAGAGGGGACAAGAAAGAAGGAGGAGAGAGGGAAAGAGCTGGACTAAGCAAAATTGATCTACTTCAGACACATCTTGTGTACTGTTCCAGAGAAAGAACTGTTTTAAGTCACTTGTAACTTATTAAAGAAGGAAAAGTGACCACATAACATACTCACTGTGATACTGGGTGCCAGGGGAGCCTAAACTAACCAAGGTCTTACCACCCAAATACTTTACCAAATTCTGTCTGGGTTCTTCACCCTCACACACAATCGCAAGGCTGCTCAGACTTAGGAAACAACGACAAAGGGATTTATTTAACAAATGGGATAAAAAAGAGTTACTTAGGCCAATAATGACCATATACTTGACCCAAAGTCATGTCCAGTACTTTTCCACACAAAGACCATTATGATGGCGTCTTCCCGCCACTGAGGATGTGACGCTTCTCTCCCAAACAACAGACTGTATGTCTAAGATGGCGTCTTTCTGCCTCTGCTGACGGTGCACACAGCAATCAGACTCCAGGTCTGGGACAGGACAGGAGACTCTGCCAGAGCTGCATGCTGCTCCAGCACAGCACCAGATGAGGGACACTCAGGACCGCAGCCATGGCCACCAAATGACTGGGCAAAAGGCCTCACTCTTGCAGCTAAGCCAGGCTGTGCCCACAGCAAAACCAGGAACCGTTTCAGTAGCTCGGCTCTTTGCAAAGCCTGTTCCTTTCCAAGGTTGGCTACTGAGACTCTCCACCTTCATTAGTCCACAGCATCCTCTCCAAAATCAGCCTGGTCCAGGGCTCAAATCCACTGGCCCCCAAAATGCTGAGGCCTCTCCAAACCTGGAACTCATACCTTGAACCCTGGAGACTGGACAGACAACCTCTTCTCTCTCTCTACTTCTTTCTTTCTGCCCCAGCCACTCCTATTTCCTCTCAAAGGTAGCCCCTCCTCAAAATCAATTCTTTTTAACATTCTCTGAGGCTGTTTTGTCTAACGAACCCCCCATGTGGGGGGGGGATACCACCTGCAGCAGTCCTTGGCCTCAGTCCCCAGCTAGGTTCCCCACTTTTAGTTGTTATCTGTGGTGACTATTGGACAAACCCTTTCCATTGTTATAATGACAAACAACGTCATACAGCACAGGGCCACAGCTACCCGTGTCAACCTGAGTAAATACCAGGCACAAAGAAAATACAGGGTGAAGTAAATGAGGTATGTACAAAAAGAAGTGAGGATGTGGGTAACTTTGGAAGAATTCAGAGATCTGTTGCCTACATGCCTTCTCCTTGGTTAAATGATGGGGTGCTCAGAGTAGCAAGACTTGCCTCCTTGACCATAATATGTTACATGAAACAGCATCTTAACTCATGACTGCTCTTGGAAAGACAGTCCAGCTCGAAGTTCCTTTCTTCCCTAGCTAACGTCTGAGTAAAAAGATGTAGGTCTTATGTGAAAATACACAGATTGAAAGACTAAAGTGAATTCCATGTTATTCAGTGGTCACTAATAATGGACAGAATCAATGTTGACAAGACTTTGGAAGTACAAAATCATCACTTTAATAATATTAACAACATACATACATTTCAAAAACTACTTAAAGTGATTCATAAATTACTGACTTTTATAATTAAATTGATTTGGAGATAATAACCAAAATAAGATCAGAGGTGAGGGGAGAAAATGATGTCAAATAAAGAGAGAAAGCAGATACAATTGTACATAAATTCAAATTATGCATTTTGAGTATCCTTTAAATAGAAAAATTAAAATTATATCATATATGCATAAACAAAAATATTACAACCCATAGCAGAAAATTTAACACATACTAATAAAAGATATATTTACTTAATACTTAACACATTTACTAGTAAATAATATTAATGACCTATACACTTAACCAAAATTATAGAGATTTTCTGTTTTTACAGAACATCAGTCATATCATTCCCAGTTTATAATACGATATTAAACCAAAGCAAAGTGAATTAACCATTACCTCTAATTAATTTATTTTTACAGATGCAATATAAAGAGATGAAAGCAGAAGACAATGTTTCCTCAGTGACACAATTTGTACTCCTGGGATTTTCTGACCTTCCAAATTTCCAAGGATTATTATTTGCCCTGTTCTTCACTGTTTACATGATCATCTTGATTGGAAATAGCCTCATCATCATTATAACCAGGCTTGACCCCACTCTGCAGAAACCCATGTATTTTTTCCTGGCCAACTTTTCCTTATTAGAAATCTGTTATGTGTCAGTCATCCTTCCAAGGATACTGAAGAACCTATGGACTCAAGACAGAATGATTTCTAGGCTAGGATGTGCCACCCAATTGTGCTTCTTCCTTATTTTTGCAGCCACTGAGTGTTTCCTGCTGGCTGTGATGTCCTATGACCGCTACGTGGCCATCTGCAACCCCCTGCACTACCCTCTGGTCATGAACCACAGGATGTGTGTCCAGCTGGCTGTTGGCGCCTGGGTCATTGGGATCCCTGTCCAGATAGGACAAACATGTCAAATATTCTCTCTGCATTTCTGTAACTCCAACCAAGTCAACCACTTCTTCTGTGACATCCCCCCCATCCTCAAGCTGGCCTGTGGAGACACTTTTGTACATGAGCTGTCTGTCTATGTTGTAGCTATGTTATTTGTTGCAGTTCCCTTTATTTTGATCCTCATCTCTTACGGCAAAATCATCTCCACCATTCTGAGGTTGCCAACAGCCAGCGGACGGGCCAAAGCCTTCTCCACCTGCTCTTCCCATCTCATAGTTGTGTTTCTATTCTTTGGATCAGCTACTATAACTTACTTAAGGCCAAAGTCCAGTCACTCTGCAGGAACTGACAAACTGCTCTCTCTCTTTTACACCATCGTGACACCTATGTTTAATCCCTTGATATATAGTCTTCGGAACAAGGATGTGATTGCAGCACTGCAAAGATTGTTCTTCAAGAAAATAGCATTTTTTTTTATGAGGAATGTTTCATGATGACCACAGCCATCAGAAAAGTAGTATAAATCTGGACATCCCCAACTAAAGAAATTAATCATTGCTAGATTTTGTAGTACAGATACTTTCAATAGTACCTTAAAATATACTGTACCTGGGTATATCAGACACAGATTTATCTAGCTTTACTGTTCCAGGCCTAAAGAACAAACTTTTGCATAAGCAAAATAATAGTATGCATCATGTATTCATTTGCACAACTAAACACTAAAGTGAATTTACTAAGATTTTTGATTTAAATAAAATGAAATCAAAGAAAATGAATTACCTAATAGAGTTCAGAAAACTCTATGCCAGTTTCCTAATGTTTAGTTTTAAATTCTATTTCACAGAGCTAGCCCCAAAGGAATTCATTTGTTTATGTGTTTTAATTGAAGTGGCATTGAGTGATGACCAGGTGACTCAGAGGCACATGACCATACCTCCCAGCTGTACGTCACACAACTCACCCACAGACTCCACCAATTATGCTCAGCCCTTTCCCCACTTTCTTCTCCTGCTCCTCTTCCACAGTCAGCATTTCCACAGTCAGCTTTCAGAGGTGCAGGGACGGTGAGAGGATTCACCAGACACAGAGTGGGGAGCAGAACAGGTGGGCTGATGAATTACACTGCTGAGGGGAACAGCAGACAGGTCAGGAGAGGCCGCGTCATGTGAACCACCTCCAGAGCCGGGGATCAAACTCAAGCTGAAGTGGCTTTAGCTTCTTAGTGCTGTAGTTCATCTTTTTTATAGTGAGTGGTATTCCATGATGTGTATCTACTGCACTTTCTACTGCATGTGTCTTCCGTGGGGCTCTTAGGCTGTTTTCACAGCTTGGCTACGTAAATGAGTGGCAGTAGATATAGGGGTGCATATTGTCTTCAAGTCATTGCTTTTATATCCTTCAGCTTTATATTGAAGATGCGAATTCCTGGATGATATGGTATACCGACCTAGTCTTAATATTTTGAAAAACCTCCATTCTGTTTTCCACAATTGATGGATCCATCAGTATTCCCATCAAGATAGCTCTTTTTCTCCACATTCTGAACAACTCTTTGATATTTTCTTTGTAATAACACTTGCAAATAACATGCACATAACAAAATATACATATTTTGTTTTATCATTTACATGGTCTCTATGCTTCCTCCTAGTCTGTATTTTTCAAGTGCATAAGAATGTCTACCACAAACGAAATTGACATCTGGGGAACAACATAGACCCATTTAGTATCTAATTGAAATTATTTTTAAATAAACAGGTTGGCCTTTGAAGTGGTGTTCCCAGGGGAGAACACATTCTGTTTCTTTTTTTTTTTTTTTCCAACTGGATGAGGGTAAGGACTCACATGGGATCATGTCCTTTGCTGATATGTTAAAATCTATTCTTCAGTTCTCACATAGTACGTTTAAATTACAGACAAAATAAAAATACTCTTTGGGTGCAAGTCTATGAAAGCCATACACAACCACAAACACAGTGAAGAGACCTGGCCTTCTCTAGACCTTTTACCTGTTGTCTTTATCACTGACAATTTCCATCAAGCCCATCAGCAGGGAGCCAGGCTGTGCCCATGCACTCTTCCATTTTCCAGAACGCCATCTACATGGACTGTGATTCTACAGGCTTTGCCTCTGGTTGGTTTTTCACTGGGCAATAGGCATTTGAAGTTGACCGAGTTGTGATGGGCCAGTGCTTCTCACTCTTGGTGTTGAGAAGTGAGTAATTGTTGTGTGTGAGAGTTGTTCAACTCTGCATGAAGGGCATTAGACTTTTTTTCAGCCTTTCTCTACTATACAGATAGACTTCCTGAATATCTGTATCTTTTGTGTGTGTGTGTAAATACAAGTAACCATTTCTCTCTTTTTTTTTTCATTCATTTTATTTATTTACTAAGCATCCCTGTTATCACCCCGCAGAGGTGGTTGCCATATTTTCCCCACCACTGAAGTGCCCACCGTCCTCCACCACACTCCACAGTGCTCTCTCCTCTGCTGAGCTATCCCTTCCGCCCTCAGATCTAAGATCTTCTTTCAAGGGTCCGTCTCACAGCTTGTGCTTCTCTGTTCCTTGGGTTCTCTAGATCCCACCCATTTTTGAGACATTCCAGTATTCATTTTTCTCCTTCTAGCTCACTTTCCTTAGAATAACGCCATACGGTTTATATTTCTGTGTGATAAATTCCAAGAGTGGGAGAGCTGGATAAATGTGGCTGGCAAGTTTATAACTAACTTCACGAAGAACTACCAGCTTCTTCTCCAGAGTGGTCTCCTGTTTTGCTTCCTACCACAAGTCTATGAGTTCTAGCTGCTGTCAAGCCTCCCAGCTTGAGGAATTTTCAGTAGCTGGCTATGGTTTTTATCTTTTGTGTGTTGTTTTGGCATTCGATTAGGTATTTATTAATATAGAAAGAGATTTTGTTTTCTTTTTCACTTCCCTAAATACAATTGATGGAGCAACTTCTCTGGCTTACCACTCCATTTATTCTTTGATGCAATATCTGTTCAAATTATTTATGTTTTTACCTGGTTTTCTTAGTATTGAACATTGAAAGTGTAGATATATTTCAGAGACAAGTACATTTGACACTGGATCTCCACACAGTCGCAGTGTATGCTGGTTTTGGGGAGACAGAGATGCATTACCTCAGCTCACACCTCAGACACACCCTTACATCTCTCCTTCTCCCCAGTCTCCATGTGTGCAGTTGCAGGCAAGAGCAGGTCACTGAGAGAGTGGTGTGGGGGCAGCAACAGTAACAAGACCAACATGCCTGGCTGACAGGACCACCTACCTTGAACAGGCACCTGTGTCCTGTCACCCCAGCTGTGTTCCCTGAATTCCTAAACACCACCCCGCTGAGGGCATCTAAAAGCAGAGTGAGTTGACCTTATTGAGGCCAGCTGCTGCCAGGGATCCTTGGAGCTCACTAGCATATAACCTGTCCTACCCTTGTGGTAAGCAATTCTGTGCAGGCCCTGGGCTTTTCCCTGTTAAATCAGTTGCTGGGTTTGTAAATGGATCAATCAGCTTTGAACTCTTCAGCGGTTAGTTAAGGGCTTGAGCTCATTAAGTGAGGAAAAAATTCAGTGAACTGACTGGTGCTTAATTGCACCATGACGAGATTGTAAGACAGGGCGGAAGTCAGCTTCACTCACTCAGCAGCCAGTCTCCCAAGAGAGAAGCTGGATTTGGCTGATGATGTCCAAGGTGTTCAGTGGATCTCCACAGACCCCACAACCTCCACGGCCAGGCAGACAACCAAAACCTCCAGACCCATGTGGACCTTCGCAGAGACCCAGCCACTATCCCTGCCTCCAGCCTTATCTCTGACTTTCTTGCAAGGAGTGCTGTTATCGTCAGCCAAGTGACTGAGAGAGCTTTATCCATTAGACTGTGTCAGTAGCTCACAAGAGTATAAGGAGTATAAGACTGGTGAGTGTGATACTGATGGTGAGCAAACCATTGACACAGTGTAACAGGTGACCCATAATGTGCCTGGTCACCTTTGGGAGATACTATTGCTTCTGAATGTTAAACACCACCCCGCAGGACTGTCGCCTCTGTTGCTATATGATCTAGAGTCTGCTTTTGTCCAACCAGGTCTTCAGACTATTGCTGTGGTTGCTGTGATATCAGCTCAGCAGTTCATCTCCACCTGCCACAGTGAATTGGCACATGTGTTTTAATGAACACGTGTGTTTTTTTAGTGAACAGAATTAAAGAAAATAAAGCTTCATGTAATATAATTTCAAATTGGTTAGTAAATACAAAATCCTTGAGTGGAGGTAGGTCTCACTGCATGGATATGATGCTATCAATTATTTTTTTCAATAACTCTCCTCCTTAATCCTTATATGTCTGTTTTTTTCAATAACTCTCCTCCTTAATCCTTATATGTCCATACAGGAGATGGCTCAGCCTACACTCTAATGCAGAGGTAGAGTGGATGACTCATGTAGGAGATGGCATACCTGCCCAATAGTCTGGACCTGTGAATTTTAAATGACAAGGTATTCAAGTCTCACTACTTTAAGACATTCTTCATTTACCTTTCTTTCAGAACACCATAATTTCTATCAGACTTAGTATGACTATAATTTTTTTATTCTTCATGCTGACATTTCTTATTGATGACAAAATAGTACTATTGATTGATAATTCAGAGGATAGGAAGGTGAGATATCTTTCAGTTGTGTTAAAGTCCTTGAGTAGTAGGCAAGGTGGTTTAGTCAATTAGAAAGTGACATGGGAGAGGAGCTGATCCCCAGGGTAGAGGATATTTGTTATTTAAAGAGCAGGATCTGTTATGACAATAGAAGCTGTGTTAGAAGATATTTAACCTTGTTTAAAAAAGTAAATTATCCAGCCTCAAGCAGAGCACATTTTCCATTCTCTGCCTTTGAACTCAATAATAAAGGTAAGCATTATTCCTCACCTCAATCCAGGGAAGTAAGCATGTTTTTTTTTTTTTTTTTTTTTTGTCAATACCAATTAACTTCCATATACTTGGCTTTGCTTAGCAAAAGCAAAGAAAAATCATTTTCAGAAATATCTTTATTTCCACTAAAAGGAGCCTGAATTTATTGTATTTTTTTTCAATTTGAAAAAAAATTATTGTATAATTATGGAACAGAGTTTAAATGTCTTTAACATGCAGAAGTAAATGAAGTGTACGTAGTAAAATAATTAGTTAATTTTCTTATTGTCAATCACTAAAATTTCCTGTGTCCTTTAACATAACTTTTCTTCAAACACAAAGAAACATGATGACAATGAGCAGGAAAAAGAATGAGCGTTTTTTTCCTTACATTTCTATTTAATAATAATGAAAAATGAATTTCACAGTTCTTTTTGAGCATCTGCCTAATATAGTTCTTTTTTTAATAGGAAGTTGTATGCCATGCTGTCTTGAATTTATATATGAGAACACAAATCAAAAGAAAGAGAAATTATTTGAAATCTATCATGCCATTTTACAGATGTCCTATGACAAGATGCAAGTGGAAGACAATGTTTCCTCTGTGACTCAATTTGTACTCTTGGGATTCTCTGACCTTCCCAAACTGCAAGGGTTACTATTTGGGCTGTTTACCATCATTTATATTATTATCTTAGTTGGAAACAGCCTCATCATCATAGTAACCAGGCTTGACCCCGCTCTGCAGAAACCCATGTATTTTTTCCTGGCCAACTTTTCCTCACTGGAGATCTGTTATGTGTCAGTCACTCTTCCTAGGATCCTGAAGAACCTGTGGACTCAGGACAGATCCATTTCTAGGCTGGGATGTGCCACCCAATTGTGCTTCTTCCTTATTTTTGCAGCCATAGAATCTTTCCTGCTGACCGTGATGTCCTATGACCGCTACGTGGCCATCTGCAACCCCCTGCACTACCCTCTGGTCATGAACCACAGGATGTGTGTCCAGCTGGCTGTTGGCGCCTGGGTCATCGGGATCCCTGTCCAGATAGGACAAACATGTCAAATATTCTCTCTGCATTTCTGTAACTCCAACCAAGTCAACCACTTCTTCTGTGACCTCCCCCCTTTGATCAAGGTGGCCTGCGGGGACACGTCACTTAATGAACTGTGTGTCTACTTAGTTGCTCTGCTTTTTGCCACAATCCCCTTTGTACTGATACTTAGTTCTTATGTCAAAATCATTTCTACCATCCTGAAATTACCCTCAACTACAGGTCGGTGCAAAGCCTTCTCCACCTGCTCTTCCCATCTCATAGTTGTGGTTTTATTCTTTGGGTCTGCTTGCACCACCTATTTCATGCCCAAGTCCAATCATTCTGCATTAACTGACAAACTGCTCTCTCTTTTCTACACCATAGTGACTCCCATGCTTAATCCCTTAATATATAGCCTTCGGAACAAGGATGTGGTTTCAGCACTGAAAAAATTCTTCCTTAAAAACTAGTGTCATTTGTTTATTTTCAAATGTTATTCTTATTGCCACTATCAAGGAAATATAAATCTTGACATCCACCCATTAGGGTTAACCATTAGCAGGGTTAACTACTTCCAGTAAATGATATAGATATTTTTTATGCTACTTTAAAATATACTTTGCTTTGGTATATCTTACAATTTATCTCTCATCCAGTGTTCTAACCTTAAAGAATATACTTCCCAATGAATAAAAGAGTAATATCTTTTATGATATTACTCAATGTAATATCGTGATCCACTCAATGTAACAACCAAAAACAAAATGAATCTATTAAGAATGTTGTCTTGATAAAATAAAATTATACAAAACTATTCATCTAAGTAACTTCAGAAAACTTTACATTAGTGCTTCCTACTATTGTTTTAACTGTATTTTATAGAAATTGGCCAAAATTAAATGATTTGTTTACAACACCCTATATGATTGAGAGGCAAAGGATCACAGCTCCTCAGATGTAGATACATCCACATCACCCCAATGAGCAAAGCCCCCCATAGATCTCAAACATCATCCATCATGTCCTTCCTCTCCTCACTTTATAATCTTGTCCACAGTCAAAGTTCCATGGTTTGTTTCTGGCTGACCCTTCATTTTCAATATATACTATTGAAACAATATATATGAGCATCATGTGGTCTTTCTCCCTTCTTCTGCATCACACCCTGCAGTTGCATCCAAGTTGGAATGTGATCTAACAAAGTACATCTTTTGTTTATGGTAATTCATCATCTCTGTATTGTCTCTGTAGCCTGTATTTGCCAAGTGCATAAGAATGTCTACCACAAACAATATCATTCTCTAGGGAGCAACGTAGACCCATTTACAACCTAATTGAAATTATTTTTAAATAAGCAAATGGATCTTTCAGTTCCCAGGGGACACACCAGCATCATAGCAATGACTTTCTTTTTTGATTGTTAATTACAATATTTTCTAATTCATAACACCTTAAGTTTAAATTATAGAAAAAATAAAATATTATCTTGGTGCAAGTCTGTGAAGTTGGACTAATTCATACAGTTGCATAATCACAAACACATTGAAGAGACAGGACATTCCCAACCTATTGCGTCTTTATAGCTCACAACTCCCATCAACCCCATCACAAGGGAACCAGGCTGTGCACATAAACATCTCCCTTTTCCAGAATGTTTTATAACGGAATGTGATTCTACAGGCTTTGCCTCTGGTTGGCTTTTCACTGAGCAGGCGACATTTGGAGTTGAACATGTTGTGATGGGCCAGCACCTTCTCTTCATTCTTGTTACTGTGAAGTGAACAATCATCTCATCGTGTTTGATTTTTTTTTCCCCACTCACTCCCTGAATGAATCATTAGAGTTGTTTCTAGTGTTTCATTACTGTTCACATAAACTACTGAATATCTGCTTATTAATTTTTGTGAAAATACAAGTTTTCATCTGATTGACAATCACTGGCTCAGGACAACTGGATAAATGTGGATGGCAAGTTTATAATTTACAAAGAACTATCAGTTCCTACTCCACAGTGCTCTCCCATTTTGTATTACTACCATATATCTGTGAGCTTTAGTGTTTGAAGAGTTATCCTTGGCTGGCCATGGTTTTCATCTGTTTAGTTTATTTTTTGTTACCTACTAGTATTTGCTGATATATATATATATATATATATATAGTTTTATTATTCATTCTCTAAACACAATCGATGAAGAAATTTCTTTTTTAAATTACCTTCTTGATATTTTATTTAAAGAAATATTATTTCACATATTTTACCACATTTTTAGTGGGTATTAGCATTATGCATTGAAGTTATACACACAGACACATGTATTTCATACACAATTTGTTAATTGTGTGATGTGGATATCTTTTTATCTTTACTGTATCCTATGTTTTGTCATTGTTACATTTAATCATATATTTTACAGAATAAATGATAAAACAGGTTTGGGCAATTCATTTTTGAAAAAGCTAATAATGTTTATAGTTGAGATTGTCTTCAACAAATGACATTGAGGCAGTTGTATATCCATTGAAACACCTAAAATGCATGACTATTGCAAAATGAATCAAAGGTATCATAGTTTAAAATTGTATAATACATAATTATAAGGAGAAAATTACTTTTGACTTTAAGTTAGGCATAATTTTTTTTTAAAGACACTACCATAAGGACACTTCATACAACTAATATTGAAAGTTTGATGTCGTCAAAATGGAAAAAAATAATACTAGACTTTGACATTGATTGTGAAGTAAAACACAGACAAAACGGTAACTATGACAGTTCATATATCCCAAAAAGGGAGTGTAGTTAGAACAGATACAAAATTCCATGAAACTGAAAGTCAGAAGTAACAACATTACTAACAAATACATAGAACTTGACTATTTTAACCAAGTGGGATATAAGAAGTCAAATAATTATTGACATATTCAGCATATAACAATATAATATTGCAAGTAAATTTTAAATGTGATTATGCTGCAAATGAATTTTAGTGACCAGTATGAAGTAAAATAAATGTCTGAATGTGTTAAATATAAAGCCCTTGAATGGTGGTATGTCTCACTGCATTACATGATACTGTAAAGTACAACTTCCACATCTCTCACCATGAATCCCTATTGGACTGCCAAAATGTCTTGCTTCATTGTGTGTGTCTTTTATTGTGTGCTATATGTTTGTGTACATTTTTTTCTAAGCAATGTGAGTGAAACTCATTCTATTATTCACAAGGACTACACTTAGAGGAGCCAGAATTCCCTCTAAGACATCCAGGGATGGGAACCAAATGCAAAAACTACTTGAACATTTTAAGTTTCACAAATCAGGCTCATTCAAAATAGAAATATGGGTCCTGACTGGGCATACAGCAACGAGTGAGAAACTCATTTTCAGTTGTGAGTTGAGGATTAAATTTGATATGAAGGGTCATGCCTGTAACTGCTTGCTGTGTGTGGGTCTCAGTTTTTACATTTGACAGAGAACCAGTGAGAGTCCTCTTGGGTCCCTTTTCCTCCCTGTCCATACAGGAGCGGCACAGTCTACATTTATTGTAGTTGTAGAGTGGAAGACACTTGTAGGAGATGCATAACTGCCCAGTAGCCCCAGTCTACTCCTGAATTACAAATGACCAATAAATCAAATCTCATTTGTTTAAGACACTCTTAATTTCCATTTTTCAGAACACTTTAGCATTTATCAGAATTAACATGACTAATTTTTTTTATTCTTTATGATGACATTTCTTAATGATGATGACAAAGTACTATTGGTTGATCATTCAAAGGGTGGTAAGGTCAGAAAGCTTTAGGTTTAGGTTTTTAGCTTTAGGTTGTGTTCCAGTGATTGAGTGGCAGGGAAGAAGGTTTAGTTCAATTAGAAAGTGACATGGGAGAGGAGATGATCCCCAGGGTAGAGGACATTTGTTATTTAAAGAGCAGGATCTGTTATGACAATAGAACCTATGTTAGAAGTTTTTTAGTATCTGTTTAAATAAAAGTAAATTGTCCAGCCTCAAAGCTGGACTCTTTCTCATTTTGTGTCTTTTAACTCAATAAAAAAGGTAAGCATTATACTTCACCTCAACCTAAGGAGGTAAGCATGACATTTTTAAAATTTTTTGGTCAATAACAAACTACTTTTCACATACTTGTCTTTACTTAGCATCAGCAGATAAGTTATTTTCATAAGTAGCTGTATTTTGGAAGCAGATGTTTCCTTAAAAATGATCTTAATTTTTGTGGTCATTTTTCAATTTCAAAAACTTAGTCTTTGTAATTTTTGTACTGTCCTTACATTCAAAGATATAAATGCTAAATTCCTTACATTAAAGTCAATCAATCAATACAGTGTATATTCTTTATCATTACAGTTATCATCATTTTATGTTTTAACATTAATTTAGTGGTTACTGTGTGTTAAGTATATGTTTAAATATATCACTATCATGAATTTAAGAATCATATGTCATAAAAGACCATTTATATAAATAAGGAGAGTAAGATAATGACTTGTTGAAATGCTTTGCTTCCTGTTAGGATGAAAAGGATTCTTTGTTGAGAATTAAGTTATGTACATATATAAAGAGAGATCTAAAAATTCTTACATGATTATGGTATGATTCTATTTTTATATTTAGAGAGTTATTTGGGGAGAGAAAAATCTTCTGCATTATATATGCCAATTTTTTATATAGTTATTTTTTTCTTCATTCAAGAATATATGAAAATTATCCAATAAACAGAAGAATAACAGCTATAATTGGTAGCATATTCATCACATTAGATGAGGTCACTACTTTTATGGGATGGCCAGAAAAATAAACAGGAAATATTTGAATAAAAATATAAGTCACTATCTTTATCAGAACCACATATTTTTTCTTCCAGAGTTCTATAAATGGAATTTATGTACTATCCACATTTAATGAATTAAAAGCATATAACAAAAAAAAAATGGCTATGTGGCAAGATCTGAGGAAGTAATATCTTTGTGAAAATTTGTTTAGAAGATAAACACGTAATTTGAATAGGTTTTGAAAACAATTATTTCTCAACTTCCAAATGGCTTTATTTTTGTTCATTCCATTGATTGTTCATAAAGATATTTGTTCATTTAAAAGAAAAATTTTTGAGTCAGGGAAAAAAAAAAAAGAAGCACTACACAGTTTAGATCACTAGTTCTGCTCTTGCTGCTTTGCTGCAATTTCTTTTACCTTAACTTCAGGGTGTTTTCCAATAGTACAGCCTACTTAAACAGTAGGAAAAGATGGAGAGAGGGGCTGGGAGAATGAGTGGAAGCCTTTTATAAAGAACATAAGAGAATAAGAAATTGGCAGTTTCTGAGGACAATGGCCTGCTTGTCAGTGGTGGGTGCATGTGGAGGTCACTCTGGCAGATACATCGATTCACTCAAAAAAGTAATCACTTCCAAATACCAGTCTTTATTTTATATTGAATTAAGAGAATAACATGGTTAAGCATGTTAAGATGTAATAAAGTTAAAAAAAAAAAACAACCCACCACTGGCTGTATGGCTTTATGTAATTAAAGTCATATTATTAAAATCATATTAAAGTCACATTATTAAAGTCATATTTTTGTGCTACTTAGTAGTAGCCACTAGCATCTGACAATTTTAGAGACAGAATAATTTTAAAATTTCTACAAATGGGAGATTTGTGTAATTATGGAGTAGGCTTTAAATGACTTTAGCCCTTTAAGACATAGACTGAAATATTATTGATGGTTAAAAAAAAAATCTTGCTTAATTTCCTTACTGTAAGTCATTAAAAATACTAAGGATGTCCACTGTTTTGCAGAGAAATACTTACCAAGGTCCCCATTTTACACTCCTAGAAAATAATTTTAGGCACTTCTCTTTGCTACAAGTTAGTCTCTACTGCCTTTCAATCAGTGAACACAAAGATGGACATTTCCTAGCACACACTGAAAACCACTGTTATTTTTCTGAATGAATAAAAGTACAAATCCTGAACAAAAAAGGGATAGAGAAAGGATGGGGGAGAGAGAGAAAGAGAGAGACAGAGAAAGAGAGAGAGTTGTAGATTCTAGTCGACAACAGGCAGGAGGAGGAAGAGTCATGGTCTACATTTGGGTAGGAACTCCAGCTTCCACACTGGGAACTATTCCAAAGGAACAATGTGACTCTATTTACTAGGGAAAGATTGGCCACCACACCTAGAACACACTGTGTGAGAGCACACACACAGCATATGTGCCAACGATGACTGAGGTAAATGAGGTCTGCAGAACTGGGTCAATAGGTGTGATGTGGGGAACAGGTATTACCAACGCTCCATGGTTGTGGGTGTCTCCTTTTCCCGGTGAGTGAGGCTGCAATGCTAGTGTGAAATGCTCTCTTGAACATAAATGTGATGAATCTGCCTCTTTGCTTTGAATTTCTTTTTTGAACAGGAAGATTAATTTAGAACATTCTCCCCACAGCAGACTCAGAAAAAAAGTTATGACTGTTGATTTCATGTACCATTCTTTGAAATAAACAGCTTTAAAGATTTATTAAATCCCATCATATTTAGTGGTCATTGATTTTTAGTATAATCTACACAGAATTCAAAGACAATAAAGACTCAGAACCTCCCTCGTGGTACAAGAGGTTAAAATGCAGTACTATGAAGCTATAGGATGCCACTGTAACACAAGTTCAATCCCAGTCAGGGGCTGACCCACATGGCACAGCAGACCTCTCCTGTCTCATTTGCTGCTCCCCTCAGCGGCGTATTTCAGTCAGTCAACCTGTTGTGCTCCCCATTCTGTCTCTGGTAAATCTTTTCACCCCTCGGTATCTCTGGCCTGTACCTCAGTTCTTGTACCCATAAATCTTTAAAAAGAACAAAGATAATTAAAACTTTAAATATTAGCAGAATGTCAACAATTTTAAAATTTCTAATATGCATTTCTAAAAATCACTTTAGATGAGTATCTAATAATGTAATAAAATTTGGGTTTGAATTAATAATAAAAACATGAGGGGTGAGAAAAAATTATATCAACTCAAAGAATGGAAATGATCTTTAGTATATAAGTCAGTGATAAATGAATGTTGAGAGTTTGGAAATGTTACGACTGAACTTAAATTCACAAAAAAAGGTTGAGGTTCCAGATGAATAAAAAATTACATTAGTATTTCATCTTATAAACAAAGAAATATGATGACCCATAGAAGAAAAAAATAGGGGGATATTCTCCTCATGTTAGCATTTAATAACAGTTCAAAATCACCTCATCTGTCTGTTACAGGTATTTTTATAGGTTTTTGGTGTTACGCTATCCTTAGTTACATAAAAGACCTAATCTATAGAAAGTAACCTAACTTGCACTTATTATTATTATGCTGTTCCTACAGATGTCTTATGACAAGATGAAATCAGAAGACAATGTTTCCTCTGTGACACAATTCATACTCATGGGGTTTTATGACCTTCCCAAACTACAAGGGTTATTATTTGGGGTATTTGCAATGATTTACATAATTATCTTAATAGGAAATAGCCTCATCATCACAGTAACCAGGATTGACCCTGCACTGCAGAAACCCATGTATTTTTTCCTGGCTAACTTTTCCTCACTGGAGATCTGTTATGTGTCAGTGACCCTCCCTAGGATTCTGAAGAACCTGTGGACTCAGGACAGAAGCATGTCAAAGGTGGAGTGTGCTACCCAAATGTGCTTCTTCCTTATGTTGGGGACCACTGAGTGCTTCCTGCTGGCCGTGATGTCCTATGACCGCTACGTGGCCATCTGTAACCCCCTGCACTACCCTCTGGTCATGAATCACAAGTTCTGTGTCCAGTTGGCTGTGGGTGCCTGGGTCACGGGAATCCCAATCCAGATTGGACAAACAAGCCTCATCTTCTCTCTGCATTTCTGTAATTCTAACAAAATTAACCACTTCTTCTGTGACATCCCCCCAGTGATCAAGGTGGCCTGCGGGGACACTTCCCTGCATGAGATCTATGTTTACGTAGCAGCTCTAGTGATCGTTGCCATCCCTTTCACACTGATTCTTTTCTCTTATGGCAAAATCATCGCCACGATTCTGAAATTGCCAACAGCCAGCGGACGGGCTAAAGCCTTCTCCACCTGCTCTTCCCATCTCATAGTTGTGGTTTTATTCTTTGGGTCTGCTTCTATTACCTACTTCATGCCCAATTCCACTCATTCTGCGTTAACTGACAAACTGTTCTCTCTTTTCTACACCATAGTAACTCCGATGTTTAACCCCTTGATCTACAGCCTTCGGAACAAGGATGTGATTGCAGCCCTGAAAAAAATATTCCTTAAAAAATAGTGTGGTGTTTTCTCTGCTTGCCAAACAGATCTCATAGATAGATCTCATAGATCACACTTTCCACAATCCCCTTTATGAACTTAATCATTTCGGCTTGTGATGTACTTTCAGACACACTTCAATGCTAGTCTATTCTGCTTTGATACCAGATAAGTCAACCTGTCTTCAATGATCCACACCTACAGAACTACTTGCTTCCTAAATAAAATAATATACATCACATAGTCCATATACAAATTGAACATAATAAAAATAGAATTCAATCTGTTAAATATTTTGAAAATATACAAAGAATGTGAGATTATTTACCTATATATTTGAAATACCTTTGTTATATTTTTAGCACTTTGATTCTGTCACACTGGCACTGACAAGAACAGTTTAAGAGGAATATTTGTTGAGTGAGTAATTGATTGTGTGAATGCATAAATAAATGTCTCTATGACCTATGATAGATTCCTAGCAAAACCTAGAGATTTCTGCAAAATGAGAGATCTTAGGGCATCAATTAACATTTCAGCATATTCATTCAACATGCTGTGTACCTCTATGAAATATTTCTAATCAGGTTACAGTTTTCATCCTATTAACTTTTGACAAAGCACATGATGCACAGAGAACACCTACCCAGGTCAACCTGTTTACTCTGCATATATTTATATGTCCCATGTAGAAACTCCAGCTCCAAAGTATTTGCTTGGAATTACTTCATCTATTCTCCATGACACTCCAAACAGCTGATCATGTACTGATTCATGGTTAAAAAACACTATCACATGTGAGTTTTACACAGAAGGAAATGTTGGAAATTATTTTCAGAATCACCTTATATGCACACAGTCTTAAAAAGTGTGATGTAATTAGTCTTTTTTGCACTTGGCCCTTTCTAAAGTGTTTAGCATTATTAAACCTTTGAACTGGTATTTTCAAAAATAGTTTGTATGTGTTATAGAACCACTTCTTCCCTCCCAACTCCAGATCCTTGAATCAGCAACTCTTAAAGAGATTGCTTGATCTATTTCTGAAATCTGCTGTTAGCAGTTGTTTCAAAAATTCTGTTATCCTGTATTTTACCAATTATCTTACTGTTGTCCTATACATAGCTATGATTTACTTCACAAACCCATAACACCCTTGAAACCCTGCACCATCAAACATTATATATTATGGGATAATGGCTTATGCACTTTATTCATGGGAGTATATGTGTGCATATCTCCCTCATTTCAACTTTTATATTAAATGAATTGTGCACATGGTCTCTGATGAACTTCATAATGATGGTGATGACCATGGTGGTGATTATGATGTGAAGAGTTGTACAAGGCAAGAGGTATGAATTATAGAGAAAAGAGAGGAGGGACCAGAAATAATACTAGACAAAAATAAACTGATTTTACAATGCTAATTTCCTTTATGAGGATGGCCAGTGTTTGTCAGGCACATGACTTAACTAATATCTGACTGAATGATTTAAGATTGACTTTCTGAAAGAGCCAACAGAAGATTCAGCTTGGTAACAGTGGGTTTAATACAAGCAATTCCACCATTTTGTACCTCTTTAGCATCTTATTCTTGATGTTTTACAATGAAGAAATGGTAAAAACACACTATTTCATGTAAGGTTCTTGTAAGACTCAGATATTTATCTGGCATTAAAAAAAGTGTTGGAAAAGTTTAAAGCATCAAAAATTAAAGTGTTGGCAGTTTAAACTTTGCTGCACTTGTTATATAAATTAATAGACAATATATAGTACTATTGTTGAAGGAAAGGACTTTCTTCAGTATTTTATAGAGAGCTGGGAAACTGACTTGCTTCTAAAAAAGTATTCTTTTCTTTTCACCTTTGTAATATGTTTACATTTTTAAAAATGTGCTCCTCAAATCTTTCCTCATGTAAAAAGAATATGTGGTCTTAAATCTTTGTAATATCCAAAGAAATTATTAACTAACATTTATGTTACTATGAATGTATGCCAATTAAATGTCAAATTACATCGACCTTTATAATTTTATAAGAGGTTTGGGATTGATTGTCCCCTTGCCTTCCTAATGCGTTCATTCACCATGAGGCAGCCTCTAGAAACTACCCCCTGTCTTACCCGTCATTTACATGAAAAAATACAAGCAACTCTGCAAATCTGCATTACCACACACACACACACACACACACACACACACACATAATAGTGAAGGCTGACCTTTGAAGTAGAGTTCCCAGTGGACAAAGAGTGTTTTTAAATTGGATGAAAGTAAGAACCACGTATAAATTATTATATGACTGTTTATTGCAATGTCTGTTCAAAGTTTTAGACAGTTGTTCAATTGATTTCCTTCTGATCTTTATGCTGACATGTTTAGTGATGACAAAAAGTACTAGCTGTTCATTATTTCATGGTAAGTTCAGGCAGTTTTGCTTGTGTTCAAGTCATTGAGTGGCAGGCAAGGTTTAGTTCCATTAGAAAGTGACCTGGGAGAGGGGCTGATCCCCAGGGTAGCGTACATTTTTATTTAAAGAGCAGGCTTGATTACCACCATAGGACCTACATACAAGTTTTTAATCTCTGTTTCAATAAAAGTAAATTGTCCAGTCTCAAAGCAAACCACTCTGTTTCATTTCATATCTTTAACTCAATAATAAAGGTAAGCATTGTACTTAATTTTGCTCCGAGAAGGTCATTTTCAGGTAATAATTGAATTATTTTTGTCAATCTCAAATTGATTTGATATAAATAATTAAGTCTATAGCATCAGCAGAAAACTGTCATTTACAGTAATATCTGTATTGGGTTAGTGTATGTTTCCTTAAAAAAATCCTTAATGTTGTCTTTTTTCTAATCTCAAAACACTAGTCTTTGTCATTTTCTGCCTCTCGTTACTATATCACAGATAAAAATGTATAATACCTTATAATAAAATCAACCAGTAAAAGATTACAATTATTCTTGATGAGATTTTTTTCAGAAAAAAATCCAAATTCTTTGGAAAGGATTTGAAATATGTTTCACCTTTCAAATGGGTTTACATTGAGCATTCTGTTGAATGCTCCTAAGAAGTTTGTTCCATTTTGCAAATTAACAGTTGAGTCAGGAAAAGTAACATTTTTAGGTTAGAACACTACAGTCTTGATGTTAGTTCTATATATTGTTGCTTTTTTATAAGTTCTTTTGGACCTCAGTTTCAGCTTGTATTTCAAATATATGCCCTACTTAAAGAGTAAGGACAATGCAGAGAGGGGATGGGAAAATGAGTGGAGATATTTCCTAAACAGAATAATAAAGTTGTCAGTTTCTGAGGGCAGGAGTCACTTATTAAAGGTGAATGAGGCAGTTGCATTTGGATGATGTGGCGATACATTCAGCATTAGATTGTATCCAGTATTCGATTGAGTTAAGAGGCAAATTCCAACATCATTAAACATGTGTAAAATGGTGCAATGTTAAAATAAAAGAGCACTGATTATAGTATTTTACACTTGAAATAGTATTTTAGTAATCTTGACTATTAGTCGCTAGTTTCTGATCGTTCTGGAGACTCAGAACATTTTTGCAATTCCAATAATCAAACTTATACTGGATAAATTCTGGAATTATGAGGCATGGTTTAAATATTTGTAGTATTTTAATATGTAGACTGAAATGCTGTACATGGTAAAGTAAATTATCATTTTGTTGTCCTATTAAAAGTCAAGAAGATGTTCAGGAAGAAAAGAATAAATTTCTGAGAGAGAGAAAGAAAGGCTACACCAGGCAGGAAGAGGAGGAATGGTCTATATTTTGGGTAGGAATCAGCGTTTCCATATTGAGGAATATTTTAAAGAAAGAACTGACTCACTTTTCATTTTTTCAAGAAAGATTGGCCATAGCATGGGACATACTGTGTGAATGAGCATAAAAAAGCACGTGTGCAAACAATGACTGAAATGAATGAGGTCTACTGAATACTGTCAGTAGGTGAGGTTGGGTGACTCCAGGCATTATCAAAGCTCAGTGGTTGAGGCTTCATGTATTAGAAATGTTTTCTTGAACACAGATGTTGATGAACTCACCTCTGCTTTTCAGTTTTGATTAAACAGGAAGATTATTTTGGAGTTTCTTTAATATCCACAGCGAATTCTGAATGAATAAGTGGACTGCTGGTTTCATGGACCTTTCCTTGAAAAACACCATAATATTTAGTGTTCATTACACAATTTTGATCATAAAACAGCCTGTGCAGAATATCAAACATAAATAAGACTTTGGAAATGTCACAGGAAACCAACACTTTAAAATTAATTATGATTTTCTAGAACCATCTTAGATGGTACCCAAATTAATGGGATGTGTAAAAAAATTTGTCTTGAAATGACATTGAAAGACAATCTGAGGCCCTCCCTGGTGGCACAGCAGGTTAAAGCACAGCACTGAGAAGCTAAAGCCACTTCCACATGAGTTCTATTCCCGCCTGCCCCGGAGG